TAAATAAAGATTAATTGGATTATAATATATGTAGAGGGGGCCGACTTTGGGAAATGTTGTCCCCCTGTCCATGTTTCCTAATGGCTGGCCTGGGTAAAACTAAGCAGTGAATATGAACCTACATTTGGTTACTTGGTTCATATTTCTCACCTAAAATGTTTTCATAAACATATTTAGGCTCACTGTTTCACTGTAATTCAAGAGCTTCTGTTACCCTATCTGTTTTCCTGGGTAAAATTAGCCAAGCTTGGATTACGTTATCCAGCGGGAGCGTTTAGTGGTCCAGTGCAGCACAGTGCATTCTGGTAGTTGTAGGTTTCCCACCTCTTGAACGAAAGCAAATGCCACAGCTCTTTGCCTCTGTTTTCTCTGGTCATGTAGCACCAATTCCAAAAGTATTTTGCATCTTTCCACTGCATAGGCAGCCTAGTTTCATGAAAAGACCATCTTTCCAGCTGTGAAATATTTGCTTATTTTGTATAAATGTATGAATTAATGTGATCTTTCAAAAAAATCAGAAGATACCATTAAGTTGCACAATTTCAAAAACTTTACTCCAGTTTAATTTTTTTGGTTCAAAAATATACAGACACAGAATTCAAATACGCAATAATCAAAAACTGTATTCAAAGTTAATGAGCTCATTTTGGTTCTAAAATTGGGTCAAGTCAAAATAAGCTCTCTCACGTTAAACCAGTAACATTCAACATGTGAAACTCAGACTTCAACACCCAGGATGTCAATCGTAAGCAGCTGAGCTTGATGGTTTTCAAAGTAAAATAAATTAAGTAAAGTATATCAATGCTTTATATTCAAAAGTACTTAAATATCAACATCAGGTTTTCAGTAGTGATTTCCCAAATTCCCAGTTCAGATCTGTTTGGCCTTTATTTGCTTCCATGGTCCACTCAGAAAAAGAAAGAAACATAACTATATCAAACCTTAAATATTTGTTGTATGTTTCCAGTTGTTTTCCAAACTGAATTAAAAACCTGGCTAATGCTGCATTTGAAACATTATTGCTGCCATCCTAATATGTCACTTTCCATTCTGCAGGTAATGAGCCGTCGCCGCTGGGCACGGTGGAGAGCTACAACCCAGTGAAGCGGCGCTGGGAGTATGTGGCGCCCATGCCAACCGCACGCTGCTCCTCTGCCCTGCTGCAGATGACCAGCATGCTCTTTGTCATCGGTGGAGTTGCCCAGGGACCCAGTGATGCTGTGGAAGCCCTCTGCTTACCAGAAACAGTCTGACACATGCACACATGCAAAGACGCAGGAGTGCACACCGGCATTGATAATTATTCATGTATGTGCAAAAACACATGAATTGGATCCACAGATCGTATTTAGATACTTTTCTACCTTTATGTCCAAATGATGGATTCCTTGTGCGCTGGGATGAAGGAAACTGTTTTTGACATTCAACAAGCATTTTTAACTGCAGAGACAGTTTGTGACAGAGCTGGATGAATACAAGATGAAGGGCGTTCAAGCCGCCTGCTGTGACTGGCAAGGACAGAAAACTGATAGCTTTTCTACGCTGGGCAAATCAGAGGAAGGAGAAAATGAGCAAAAAACAGACACACACACATAGTGTCTGAAGAAACAACACGCCTTTGAACTGTTGAGCATTTTTCAGAATAAAAGCAGGGTACTTTTCTGGATATTAAAGGAAGATAGGGCCATATCTGTATCTTTTCTTTGCGGCAGCGTCGCTCTCCTCTGCTGCTGCGACAGCGAGCTCGGACACTTTTCTATGACTTTAGAAACAACAGATGAGTTTTAGACAGTGACGTTCTGGGAATGTGAATGTCTGTTTTGGTTGTTCTCTTTTCGTTGAAGTGTTTGTTGTTATGTGTGAGAGTTAGCACTGCTAGCAAGCGCTACCACAGTGTCAACAACAGTGGCCCTTAACATGCGTTCACACCGCAAGCAACCCAAGAAACTGCAAATCAGAGGCCCATCCTTTTTCTACAACCAGTGACGTGCTGGCTGACGTCGACCACAGTCATTGTGTTTCCTTTATGTGTTGTGGCAGAAAAGCTGACTGTGGTCTAAGTTGTCAGCACCTCGCTTTGCTACATATTTATCCACCTCGGCTACATTAGCATCACCGTAATCAATCCCAATCAATCACCAAGGCTCAAACTGTCCTTCATACTGTAGCACAAGGATGTAGTTGCTCGTGGAGTGAATGCAGGGTTACTCATACCTGCTGCACTGAAGCATCCCGACAGATAAATAATAATCTCAACGTCAGCCTCCTTACATATTACATGTCCCTTGAGTTTTATGATGGATAGTCGTACTTTGTATTCTTTACCTCAAGTTGATATCGGTCAGATGGTGGATAAAACAGGAAGAGAATCTTGTGGTGATGATACCTGGGCAACATTTTGAGGCAATTTTGTTACTCTAGATTTGTCCAACCCAAGTGTAGTAGGCTATCATGAGCATAGTTTTGCATAACCAGTCCTGATCTCTTTTGAGTGTAAAAAAGTCCATACCTATAGGCTTAAAAAGGACTGAAAGGTTTGTAGCTTGTTCAGGAAGGGAGCCGAGGTTAAGCAAATCATATAAAAATACCCATAGAAACTTCTGAAATCATGCAGCATATTCCACTTCATTACTATTGGTCTGTATGTTCAGTATGTCACTTTGTCAGTGAATTGCTAAATATGCTAGTTTTTGTGCAGCTTTGAAGTGAAAGCATAGCACAGAAGCTATCAGTTTTGGGCAAGGTAGTTGAAAAATGTAGTCAATTAGATTACATATTACTCATTATATTACTTCATCATCAAGAGTAATTAGATCCTTTACCTCGCTCAGCTTTTAAATAACTCCAACGTTTCCACACCCACACGTCACATCATCTGTACGTAATGTGTAGAAATAGAAAACAAGATATTGTGGTTTATCAAGGATTTTTTTCACTGATCACCAACAGCTAGCTTAACCTCGCAGAGTGAGGGGTTGCATGGTGAAGCTGCCCTCCATCAATGAACAAAACCCAGGTGACTCCTGGATGTGGGCTCACCTGTGGCTAACATTAGCTAGCTAGCAAAGAATTCACATCATGTAAGTAAAACAAATTTGGAGTTACTGAGAAACGCATCTCGTCTCGTCTGTTGGTAGGAGCTAGCCGAAATCCAACAGGGGTGCCATGCCATTTTTCTGACAGCTCATAACTCCGAAGCCCCAGTAGTCTGACAAATGTCCCATTGGACTGAAAGGACCTCTGTCCGACAGCCTGGTATTCTGAAAACAAATGCTCATCACTCGGATGGCCCATTGCTCTGAAAATAGGCTACACATGCTCTAAAACAGAAGAACATGACTAATTATAATGCAGAATGGCGCCATTGGACCTTTTAACTATGGCGAAGGCATGTCACACCTCACTCTGCCCCTGATTGGCTTACCATGGTATTCTTACCATAACCAATCTCAGTCCTCATGCCTCACCCAACCAACTAAGGCTATGAGTGAAAGCCTATCAGAGGCAGAGTAGGGCAGGAGAAGTCTTTACTATACTAGAAAGGTTAGTGCACAATGATTAACCTTGTGCTTTGGAGAAACAGCCCTATAGTTTTATAGTTTGTGGGATATGCTGTCGGACAAATAGGCTTTGGGTCCAATGGGGCCAAGTTAATATGTGAAATGATGTCAACTCTCCATCAAACTCCTGGTAAATCAGCCAACAAAGTATAGTTTGGACAAGTAAATTGTCATTGCTATCTATCTAATTGTTACTGAAAAAGTAACACATTACTGTAATGCATTACTAAGTAACTGCTGCCTGAAACTGTTAGCCATGTTGCATAAAAACTATGTGCAACATACTGTATGTACAGATTGATATCAAAGAATTATGCTAGGAGTGCTTTGAGCAGTTTCTATGGATGTGTTGGCATGACTCATGGAATCACTCATAACTTATATGAATCCAAGTCGACAGCAGCTGCTACAGACTTTGTCAGAGCCACCTTTTAGTCATAGGGTGGGTGAGCAACTGATGCTCAAAAGACAGCTGGAGATTTTGTTTGTTTGGGTTGAAATGAGACTTTGTGTACCAGAGTTGGGGATGAAAGATGATGGGGGGAGCTGCAGTGCAGAATGTTTTGTGACAGATCCAGTGACTTGTGGACAGCGGACGAGGTCGGGCTGGAGACAAAGGAATTACCCAGTGCAGTGTTCTGCTGTGTGGCAAGCAGCCTCTGTTGGTCTTTCTTATCCTGCCATACTGGTAGCATTTGCCCTATTCCTCCTCCTCGCTGCGTGGAGGATACAGGCAGTGATATTTGCCATGATGACATTTCAAATGTTTTTTGCCAGAGTTTATTTGATGACTAGATGATTAAAGGTAGTGTGCTAAACAAAAGAGAAATGAGCCTGAGATTGGAAATGGGAAATGAAATCCAGATTGAATCAACAGATACGATGGCTAATTCAAAGATGATGGTTTGTTTCAGCACTCTAACACATAAGAAGTTGAGATACAGGCCTGCAGCCTTATTGCATCATTTAGAGACGACATTTATCTGGTACATCCAAACTATTTTAAATTACCTGGTAAATATTGCAGGTGCTTGAGAAATAGAATGAGCCATTTTGTCTCCCAGTACATGAAACTATTTGAAAAGGTGTACATGCTTTTAAACATGTAGAAAGATGAGAGAGAAAACGACTGTAGATAAATTAGAGACACAAATAAAAACCATACAGGAAGAGGCAGCTAGCTCTGACCCCCAATATAAGCAGTGTTTCTGATCCACACACACACACACCCACACACGTCTTGCCCCACTTCATATACATTTCTGGTCGGCACCCTGGCACATCTTGTTAACAGAGTCAGACATCTATTGCTGTGCAAGAGCACTGAAGCTGCTGGAGCTCAGATGAGATGCCAGTTGACAGTTGGTTATTTCTGGTGCTGCATTGTGTGCATCTAATTGAGTGTGTTAGGTATAAGCCACTCACATATGTATGCGTGAGCACACACAAACACACACTCCAGCTTGTAGGCAGAGCCGAGCACAGACCTTCAGGAGTGCAGGAATGCAGTCAGTCAGTGACGACTTGTAGGCGATCTGTTTTAATGTTTAGCGATTTTAACTTGCACAAATCTCAGATAAATGACCAATGAGTCACACAGACAAGCCCCTGCACTCTCGCTGCTACTGGGGGATGGAGATGGAGGGTGGCAGGTTAACAAGGGGCGTGCAATTTGGTCATTTTGTTAACATCCTTCCTAAAATAACCTGTGGCTCCCACAGTTTTATCTGGCTACAATTACAAATGCTTGGAGAGAACACAAAGATCATTTTGTCTGTAAACAGCTCCTCTGGTTGGGGACTGTGGCCCTCCACTCCATCCAACTCTGATGAGCCTACTTGAATCAACTGCAGTTTGTGAGAGTGTGTGTGAGAGAGATAAATCACATGTCTATTTTTTGCCATGGATATATCGCGAAAAGTGGATGAGGTTTGGCAAAATGGCTAAAATGGTATTTGCATGTGACTTGCTCATGCAGCACAAACAGCTAAAGGTTATTACAGAAGAAGTAATAATTGGCCTTATGTGCTGTCTGTGGTATTTGACAGATGCTTCTTTAATGGGGCCACGGGGGATTTTTTTGTTTTGTTTTCTTTTTTCAGCCAACAGGGAGAATTGGCAACAAGTCAAATATTGCCGCACTTTATCTTAAAGGTAAAGTGTGTAGGATTTAGGGGGATATTTTGTCAGAAATGGAATGTTAATAAGTACTTTTTTCTTTAGTGTATGAGCACCTAAAATTAAGAATCATGTTTTCATTATCTTAGAATAAGCTGTGGATCCTTGTCAAAGGGAAGTCACCATGATCACCACCATGTTTCTACAGTAGCTCAGAACAGACAAACCAAACACTGGTTCCATGAGTTGAAAAGATGCTGTTTTGTGAGTGTTTTTACCGATTGAAGTCATCGTAAATGAAGAGACCTCTGCGGATAATTCATTTCCCAGTGAAAATCTCCTAGACATCTGGATCTTAGGTTATCAGAGAAAAAAATTGATCACATATTAGCATGTGCTGGGCAAACCGCCTGTCTCAGACATACCAAACAGCACAAGAAAAGCACTGATTTGCATGTGAAACTGCTTAATTTAATGTTTTTATGAGTTTAAATCACATTGTCCATATGTTTCGGAGAGGAAGAGACCTCTGTAGATAAGATAAGAACATTAAAAGAATTCTAGCCAGGAGAAGTTTCAGCTAGCTGGTTGCTAAATCCCCCCAAATCCCCTTAAATGTTACACACTGGACCTTTAAAGCTGCATTATCAGATTTTTTATGGCCACTTGGGGGCGGCAGAGCAAGCTGTAAACATTATATCAACATAACACCATAAGTTGTTATAATAGTTGATAATGAACTGTTGCTTACACATTTAGCACTCCAGGAGCAACTTCCTGAGGAATGTTAGTCTAATATATACTTGCTTTAACCTCTTTGGTCTCCACCAGCTTCTGAGGAAATGCTCCACTGTGTTCATCAGCTAAATTTCTGTCTTTTCTCGGAAACAAGGTTGACGAAAGCTAGGAGACTGAACTGAAATAGTAAACTTTTGGCCTGTAAAATCAAAACTAAGAGTTGAAAGATGCAAAAATGCTTTGGGCTGAGGACAACTGCAGTCGGATGAAAAACCATCCCACATATTATTATTTTATATGTGCGGCTGTGCTTCTACGTCTACATTCATGGTTACACTGTACGCGCACTTGTGCGATTGTGATGGCGTGTGGGCGCGTGTGAGCACGATTGTTATTATGCTTATGTGTGGGTGTGTGTGTGTGTGTGTGTGCGCAAATTCTTGACACCAAGCCACGCTCACCATCTATTATTATGTGAGTTGTCTGGAGGATGTACAATGTCTCCTGTGCAGTCTTTCAGTTTCTCCCGCTCTGCGATACAGTTTACATGGCACACTGCAGTCCCCAGGGAATTCTGGGACCTTGCCAGAGCTAGTTCTCTCTTTTTGTTGTCTGGTTTCGTTTTTTTTTAAACCTTGTCTCTTTCACTCTCTCTCTCTGACCCTGTCAGTGTCAGATTGTTTTTAGGAGAAGATGCCTCATAAATCTCAAATTTGTCTTTCAATAGAAAAGATGCCTCATAAATCTGTTTTTCTGGCTCCTGATGTGACGTACGTGTCAGGCTGTTTACTCATTGGAGTGAAATCCCTCTGCTGCCTCTGACAGCAGGGGTTGGGAGACACAGAACAAAAGAGCAGGATGCTTCAGTACAGGTAGCAGCTAATTACAGGCTGTACTTTTTTAGCAGGCCATGAGCGGATGATGCACAAGCATATGTAAATGTCTATGTAAATGTGTTCTTACAGGACGAGTTGAAAGCCAAAATGTATTGTGGACCTGCTTTCCATGACAAGAGCATTAATATGGTTTTAATTAGCATGAGTTTCTAGGTGACATTTTTCAAACCGAGTCTGAGAAATCTGTAGAACCTGAGGCGCAGGGCAATTTTACAAGCAATAAGTGCCCTAAAATTACTACACAGGTTTTAAATACCCTAAAGTACAGAGCAATGTTGACTGGCAACAAATGCGCGAGTAGGTACAACACTCATTTTCAAGCACGTTTTTATTATCCGGAGCAAACAGACGTGACTTGCATTGCCTCAAATAGTTGCCTTGTGTATCATTACCTCTCAAACATTTGTAGATACAGTACGTACCCTCTTGTCCAAGATACATTCAGGGCCCTGTTTTAGTGTAGGCACAATGTGCATGGCACGCTCTGTGCCTTAATTCACAAAAATAAGGCCCACAGACTCAGGTTCTGACAAAACAGCGGGGGTGCATTCAGCAGAGTGCAAAGAAGTGGGTGGACGATGCTGAATTTACACTGTTTTCAGTTTTATGAATTCAATGCTGAAGTGTATCTTGTGTTTGATAATGAAAAGCCTCCCCAGTTTTCTTGTCTTTTCTTTGTTTCTTTTTTTTTTTGTGCGGGCAAACTTGAACACACTTTCCTGGTGCAACAGGAAACAGTGTCAGCACCCGCAGGTAGCATAAATGTGTTACTCTTACATTAGTATACCCATGTGTTCTTGTTTTTGTTTCCTATAGTTGAAAAAAAAAAATATCAAACATCCCCTTGATTATTACTGATTGGGTAACCAGGATTAGATATAATTGTTTTTTTCTGTCAATTGTTTATGTTTGTTCTTTGTTTTGCCCTTCACTTGTTTGTGTTGTGGATTGAGGTTGTGAGGTGACATATGTGTCGTGGTGTTGTCCAGATCTGAACTGGGTTCCCCAAAGTGTTTGTCACTAGTTATGTGTTCTTGTAAAGCTTTGCTTGGGTGGATGTTGCAGCAAATATTTTTTTTAGTAGAGGTTTATACAGAAGTCTGTTTATTTTAGTCAGACGGGAAGCATAGGAACACAGTTTGTATAATACTGGGAATGAGGATATGTAATATCACTGTCTAATATATGGTTTTCAAGTAGAAAGGTCTAGAAAAGGTTATATTTAGTGAGAATAGAGGAAGGACAGAGATATATAATTGAAGCAAACAAGCTGACACACTATTTTTTTCCATTGAGTGATTTAAAAGCTTGAAGGTTTTCAGATCTAAATGGTCGAAAAAACATCAATTTCAACACAGGATAATATTTTTCATTCTGTGATTGAACTAAATGCTTCAGATAATTAATATTTTCAACCCCCCGCAGCTTGAGAACCACCGGCCTTCAAAGCTGTCTGTCGTTTTGACAAGTGTCAGAGTGAAACTAGTTTGTGCAGACATTTTGGGAAACACAAACCCAGAAATCCCTCCCCCTGTTCTAATCTCTCTTGCTGTACTGTGCTGTTTCCCTACAGTGATTGACATGGTAGAAACCTGGTAAACTGCTTTGTGGTCTCAGTGGATCAGTATTGCCATGTGCTCTGTGTGTGCAAATGTGATTTGGGAGGTTTACTGAACTTAATGGAATGTGCTGAAGGTGATAAGGAAGACAGAGAAGGAAACATAAGGAACGGTGGACTCGACTCCACTCAGATGGCGTGTGTGGGGAGGTGTAAGGCAGTGTGTGTGAAACACTGCAAAGTTAAATATATCCTTATTTATGTTATAATTATATGCTTTTGTATTTTCATCCCTGTGTAAACATTTGGTTGTAGAAACATGCATAGCCCCTTTTAGTCAGACAGACTCACCCACACACACGGTAACTCCTGCCACTTCAAACTATGCACTTACAGTGAATCGAGCCCATACAGCGCTGACTTGACATGTGACACCAACAACGATTAGACTCAGTTACAGTATGACTCCTGTACTGAGACCACATACAGTATATTCAACGACATAGCATAAGTATAAATAACAGAAACAAATAAAAACAACACATACTTACAATTTTATACAATATGTTCTGTATCGCAGTTAGGTTATGTTCACTGAGACAAATAAAATTCTGTTTCAGTTGTTTTACAGCAATGTTGGTAGAACACAAAGTTTACACATGACGATAGGTTTACTTCTCATGAGGTGTACAACAGCTATATAATGTCCTCTGTGGCTTAGGATGGTGCTTTCTACAGTCTGAGAAAACAACTTTGTTTATATCATTAGAGTTACTTTGGCTTGGGGTTGAGAAATAACATTTTTATTATAAAGCATGTGTTACAAACTGAGGGCATTGAGATTAAAAGATGTGAGCCTTTGGTAGTGGTGGTGGTGGTGGTTGGGGACGGGGGGGGTGGGGGGGGGGGGGGGGGGGGGGGGGGGGGGGGGGGGGGGGGGGGGGGGGGGGGGGGGGGGGGGGGGTGACTGAGAGACATTATTAAAGTCCCCATGAAACACTTAGCTGTGTATTACCCATTGAAATAGAATAGTCAAGTGATGTACAGTAACAAGAGGGATCAAATCCTTGGCACTGGATTGGACCGCTAAAAATGGGCAGTGGACCGTTGGCTCCACACAAACCTCCCTCACCGTTTGATCAGGACAACACATTCTTTATTTGTTATGGACTTTCCACGTCGACATATGACATGCAACGTCTCCTGGGTGGGTGCGTTGGTTGTTGACGTACAAGGACGCACTGTTACATGCGTAGTCTGTTTTTAAAATGCAGGAAATGTACAGTTTGCATACAGTCTCTTTCAAAATAAATGCAATACATCGGTACAGCACTGCAAATTGACATTTTTTTTTAGGAAGTGAACACTGGCTTCCCGGGTGGAAGTTGGTGGTTGTTGGACCCATAGACATATATATACATAGACGCCGCATCGAGCACTGAGCCGTACGTCAATGTCGCCGCCATATTGGATGTGGCAAGGCTGCGCTGTAAACTAATACAAGTGAATGGACTTAATTTCATAAAGTGCCTTTCTTTAAAGAAATTTACGTTAATGCCTCTTGTTTATTCATTCACACATACACTAATATATTTGGGAAACAGTTAGGCACCAAAAACAATGTATTTGATCTTCTCAGATGGCTAAGATAAGAACTTTATTGATCCCACACAGGAGTAATTCACCTTACATCAGCTATAGAGAACAAGGTAGTGTCGAAAAACAATACACAGTAGCCTATATATAGGCCTATATATATATACAGTACAGGCCAAAAGTGCGTTTTCTTTATTTTCATGACTATTTACATTGTAGATTCTCACTGAAGGCATCAAAACTATGAATGAACACATGTGGAGTTATGTACTTAACAAAAAAAGGTGAAATAACTGAAAACATGTTTTATATTCTAGTTTCTTCAAAATAGCCACCCTTTGCTCTGATTACTGCTTTGCACACTCTTGGCATTCTCTCCATGAGCTTCAAGAGGTAGTCACCTGAAATGGTTTTCCAACAGTCTTGAAGGAGTTCCCAGAGGTGTTTAGCACTTGTTGGCCCCTTTGCCTTCACTCTGCGGTCCAGCTCACCCCAAACCATCTGGATTGGGTTCAGGTCCGGTGACTGTGGAGGCCAGGTCATCTGCCGCAGCACTCCATCACTCTCCTTCTTGGTCAAATAGCCCTTACACAGCCTGGAGGTGTGTTTGGGGTCATTGTCCTGTTGAAAAATAAATGATCGTCCAACTAAACGCAAACCGGATGGGATGGCATGTCGCTGCAGGATGCTGTGGTAGCCATGCTGGTTCAGTGTGCCTTCAGTTTTGAATAAATCCCCAACAGTGTCACCAGCAAAACACCCCCACACCATCACACCTCCTCCTCCATGCTTCACAGTGGGAACCAGGCATGTGGAATCCATCCGTTCACCTTTTCTGCGTCTCACAAAGACACGGCGGTTGGAACCAAAGATCTCAAATTTGGACTCATCAGACCAAAGCACAGATTTCCACTGGTCTAATGTCCATTCCTTGTGTTTCTTGGCCCAAACAAATCTCTTCTGCTTGTTGCCTCTCCTTAGCAGTGGTTTCCTAGCAGCTATTTGACCATGAAGGCCTGATTGGCGCAGTCTCCTCTTAACAGTTGTTCTAGAGATGGGTCTGCTGCTAGAACTCTGTGTGGCATTCATCTGGTCTCTGATCTGAGCTGCTGTTAACTTGCTATTTCTGAGGCTGGTGACTCGGATGAACTTATCCTCAGAAGCAGAGGTGACTCTTGGTCTTCCTTTCCTGGGTCGGTCCTCATGTGTGCCAGTTTGGTTGTAGCGCTTGATGGTTTTTGCGACTCCACTTGGGGACACATTTAAAGTTTTTGCAATTTTCCGGACTGACTGATCTTTATTTCTTAAAGTAATGATGGCCACTCGTTTTTCTTTAGTTAGCTGATTGGTTCTTGCCATAATATGAATTTTAACAGTTGTCCAATAGGGCTGTCGGCTGTGTATTAACCTGACTTCTGCACAACACAACTGATGGTCCCAACCCCATTGATAAAGCAAGAAATTCCACTAATTAACCCTGATAAGGTGACTACCTCTTGAAGCTCATCGAGAGAATGCCAAGAGTGTGCAAAGCAGTAATCAGAGCAAAGGGTGGCTATTTTGAAGAAACTAGAATATAAAACATGTTTTCAGTTATTTCACCTTTTTTTGTTAAGTACATAACTCCACATGTGTTCATTCATAGTTTTGATGCATTCATTGAGAATCTACAATGTAAATAGTCATGAAAATAAAGAAAACGCATTGAATGAGAAGGTGTGTCCAAACTTTTGGCCTGTACTGTATATATATATATATATATATATATATAGCCAGGAAGTTTCCACTCTGAGAACAGCGTTGGAAACACAGGCAAGCGTGATCGAAGACCAGAGACCGGCTACGGCTCTGGATCGCCGGATGACGGACTTGGAGAGGTGCCATTGCCATGGATCGCCCGGCCGGGCCCGTGGGGCTGGTGCTGCTGCGTTGGGATCGCAGGAGAGAGAAGCCCCGGGGTCGTCGGAGCCTGCTCGGCAGTCACTGGGGGTGACGGCATGCCCCCAACTCCTCTCCCCAGCATGGAGTACCGTTCTGAAGGAAGGGAAGCGCAAGCCTCAGAAGCCCCAAAAAGTGTAATTGTGTAGGATATCTGAGTCACCAAACAGCTTAATTTCAGCGCTTGCAAATCCTGCCTTGAGTACGGTTAGGTTTAGTTTATATGCAAATATTTGCTATTTTTGTATCTGTCTGTCCTTTTACTGTGTCTTGTATTTTTATTGTAGGCCTACTGTAGCCTACTAGGTATACACACACACACACACACACACACATATATATATGTATACTGTGTATTGTTTTTCGGCACTACCTTGTTCTCTGTAGCTGATGTAAGGAGAATTACTCCTGTGTGGGATCAATGAAGTTCTTATCTTAGCCATCTGAGAAGATCAAATACATTGTTTTTGGTGCCTAACTGTTTCCCAAATATATTAGTGTATGTGTGAATGAATAAACAAGAGGCATTATCGTAAATTTCTTTGTAGAAAGGCGCTTTATGAAATTAAGTCCATTCACTTGTATTAGTTTACAGCGCAGCCTTGCCACATCCAATATGGCGGCGACGTTGACGTATCGCAGCAGCGGGCAAACCCACTTGATGCGGCGTCTACGTATATATGTCTATGGTTGGACCCATCCACCCAGTAGTATCTACTCGGACTTGAGCCGCCTCAACTTTTGTTGCCCCCCTGACACCGCCGGGTGCCATTAAATAATATGGCGACCAGCTGCGTATCATGCTAACGTGAAAGAATGGCTTTTTTCGTGGTGTTTGACACCGGAAGTCACTGACCAAGTGCCAGATTTCGACGACTCCGGCTGATTAGGAGGAGGGGAGGGAAAAATGAATGAATTAGACCACAGTCACATTATTTTGAAAATGAAAAAGGTCTTGCCCACTGATGTCCACACACACATCTCTTGACCCACAAATGGTACCGTGTTGGTTTTATATGACCGGTGAGGCTAGCTAGCTGCCGAAAGTCTCATTTGACTGGATAAACTTTTGTAAATGTCTCTGGGTGAAGGATGAGTCATCAGACATTTGAAACTGTTACAAAAAGAGAAAAGACATGGAATTTGATGTACAAATACTCTGATACTATTTATTTTATTTTTTTTTAACATATATCTCGCATATAACAGGAGATAAATGATCAACACTGGGAACATGTGCTTTTTAAAAATTCATGGGGACTTTAAGTTGCATTCTGGGAATTGTAGGATCCAGCATAGATCGTGCTAGTACGAGGTACTTGTTCTGCGCCACAGATGTACAAAGTTATTAGAACGCAATGTATGCCACTGGATAATCCCTCTAAGAGAGAACAAGATTAGGCTGCTGCTTGTTAACAGGAGGACGAGTGTTTTCTTTTCAATCACACACAAAGAAAGTGAAACAAGAGGGGATATGCTAGAATTACTTTTGTTATTATAATCCTCATTATACTAACAATAGTAATCTTAATAGTATTTGTTGTGGCTGTTGTAATTGATCAATGTGACACTGCAGTGGGTTCTGAAACTGTTGGTTGAGATGAGACCTGCAAAAGAGAACAAGAAGTGTATCATGATGTGCTAAAAAGTCCAGAGCAAGGCAAGACTGAAGTAGTTCATGGATGTGTTTGGATGATGTAATGTACACATGGAAAGGCTGCCTCCTCTCACCAAAGCCTGCCAGTCACACCAACGATACAATCAGTGGGTTTTCAAAATGATGAGAAGGGTTAATGCTGGGTTAAAGTTTCATCAAGAGTGGTATATGATGATGATGATTATGTTGTATGATAGACTTTTGTAAACCTAGGCTGTGATGACAACTGATCATCAATTATAACCAAGCTCCCTCATCTTTACAGCCTTACTAGAATTAACCAGAAAAGACCAAGTCAGACAATTACAGACCTCTGGATCTCCTCTGGATAGTGACTTGTAACAATTGATTAGTTTGCTGTTGTTGCTGTTGATCTAAACATCACTCTGTAAGTCTGTAAGTCTTGTACACCACAAAGTCCTCGGCAACCTACTGTAGGTTCAACTTCTGTGCTTATTCATTCTCAATGCATAATATTGCCCAGTCAAACTTGTTGTCAGACATCTCAAGTTGAATTATGACTGTAACAGAGATTGTCAAAAACAGCAAAAAGCTTGTGCTTTCCTCACTGAAGGTACTTACTGAAGTTTGGAAGTAAATGCAGAAGTCACTGCTGGAGGATCCAACATCAGCATTTTGCCAGACCCAGCACGCACCTA